AAAAAAAAAAAAAAAAGAATTCAGGACAAGTCCTCAGTGTAAGGCAAAAGCAAGTTTATTAAGAAAGTAAAGTGGTAGGGCCAGGTGCGGTGGCTCACACCTGTAATCCCAGCACTTTGGGAGGCCGAGGCGGGTAGATCACCTGAAGTCACCAGCCTGGCCAACATGGCAAAACCCCATCTCTACTATAAATACAAAATTAGCCAGGTGTGTTGGCTCACACCTGTAGTCCCAGCTACTTGGGAGCCTGAGGCAGGAGAATCACTTGAACCCAGAAGGCAGAGGTTGCAGTGAGCTGAGATCACGCCACTGCACTCCAGCCTGGGTGACAGAGGGAGACTCCATCTCAAAAACAGAAAAGGAAAAGTGGTGAAAGAACAGCTGCTCCATAGACAGTGTAGGACACTCCTGAAATTGGGAGGAACACATCCACCCTAGGTCCAATGCGCACATATATGGGGAGATGTGCTCTGCTACGAGGGTTTGTGATAAAGGATTCCTTTTTTTTTTTTCATTATTTTGCAAGAATTGATACTATCTTTAAAGCAAAACTAGGAATGCCTTTGTTCTCCAGAGATCAGGATATCTGAACACGCCCACGTCTGGGTCTGTTCAGTAACCATTATTAATTTGTCCCTTAACCATAAACATCCAGAGGCTCAGAATGCAGCCCAGCAAGTCTCAGCCTCATTTTCCTAACCCACACTCAAAATGGAGTCACTCTGGTTCAAACACTTCTGACAGAGTCCTGGGGGAGGTGAGGACACAGACTCAGGGGAGAGACCTGAACTGTCTTAAGATGGTCCTAGGTTGAGGGTAGGATTATCTTAGGGAAAGGACCAGAGCCCATAGTAGGAATCGGAGAATATAGGCTGGGGAGGACTCTAGACCCCACAGGAGTGAGTTTGAGGGGGCAGAGGAGTGGCTAATGGGCATGGGAGGGCCTGGCGCGTGGGAAGGGACGGTTAGAGCTCGGGGATGAATTCTGGGAGAGAGGGATAGAGTCCTGGAGAGAGGCCTTAGGACTAGGAGAGGACTGGAGTGCTCCTGAGAGCAGCTGCGGAGATGGAGGGCAGACGCTACCTCCTGCAGGAGAACCTTAGGCACAGGGGATGGTGGTGTGGGTAGAGCTCAGGGGTGTCCTATAAAGGTTGGCAAAGGATGCAGAATATAGGGTTAAAGTCCTGCTTGTTTGATTTACCTCAGGGGTAGGTTTACATTTCAATCAAAGCTGCTTAGTTCTCAGATTCCAAAAACCTCAGCATTAGGTTAAGGATTCAGATGCTCCAGGGGTGGTGGGGAAGTGAGGGAGCTTGTTCAGGGGAAGGGGTTCCAGACCCAGGTTTCAGAGCTGGGTATCTTTCTGGTCTAGGCTTCAGTACCCTTAGGAATCAACCTCACACACGGCATCATCCTGCTTAGTGCCCCTTTCCCCTGTGGACCCTACGCCAGCATCAGCAGAAGGGGCCCAGGGTCCCCTCCTTGCCACCAAAAGCAACACGGATGGTGGGGTCACTGCCCTTCCCGGCATTCCCGTGTAAACAGAGGAGGAGCTGGGTGGGGTAGGAAGAGAAGAGCAAGGGACGGAGTATGAAGAGGAGAAGCAGGTGGAAGATAGTGACAGGAAGCTGGAGGGATGTGGGGGTGGGGGTGGGGAGAATACTGAGAAACAAGGAGACTGTGCAGAAAGGCAGCACTGGCCTGGCCATAGGGGACGCAGCCAAGGCACAGGAAGACAGCCTGGGAGGACACGGTTAGTTCACAGAAGGAAACATGGGAAGAATGTGTGTCAGGCAGGACTCTTGGTTCAAGGAGCAAAATCCAAAGTCTACATAAAAAGCCCAGAGGTGGGCCGACGCGGTGCCTCACGCCTGTAATCCCAGCACTTTGGGAGGCCAAGGGGAGTGGATCACTTGAGGTCCGGAGTTTGAGACCAGCCTGACCAACATAGTGAAAATCTGTCTCTACTAAAAATGCAAAAATCAGCCTGGCACGATGGTGCACGCCTGCAACCTCAGCTACTCAGGAAGCTGAGGCAGGAGAATTGCTTAAACTGGGGAGGCGGAAGTTGCAGTGAGCTGAGATCAAGCCAGTGCACTTTTCTGAGACAAAGCAAGACTCTGTCTCCAAAAAAAAAAGCCCAGAGGTGGCCAGGTGCAGTGGCCCATGCCTGTAATGCCAGCACTTTGGGAGGCCTATGCAGGCAGATCAACTGAGGTCAGTAGTTAAAGACCAGCCTGGTCAACTTAGTGAAACCCTGTCTCTACTAAAATACAAAAAGTAGCTGGGTGTAGTGGCCCATGCCTGTAATCCCAGCTACTCAGCAGGCTGAAGCAGGAGAATCGCTTGAACTCAGGAGGGAGAGGTTACGGTGAGCTAAGAGTGAACCACTTCACTCCAGCCTGGGTGACAGAGCAAGACTCTCTCTCAAAAAAACAAACAAACAAACGGAAAACTACAAAAAGCAGTAAGAGCCATGGGGTAAGGGGTGACCATGAAGTCA